TGTCGGGTTTAGGGTTTAGGTTTTCGGGTTTAGGGTTTAGGGTGGGCCCTATGCGCTACCTAGGCTTGGACAGCTCAGTCCAAAGCAGGCTCCAGAAGCTTGCTACATTCGTTTTTCTTGTTGTTAGTGTTGTTCTTGTTCTTGTTTTGTCCTTAGTCTTCGTCTTCCTCCTTGATAAAGTGCGGTGCAAACGCTGCCGCAGAGGAGGTGTCGATGTCGACCCCTATACACTGCGATTCCAAGATCATGAGTTTTCGAGTCAAGCTCTGTAGCCTGCAAGACATCGGCCAGCTAAGAACTTCTGTTCTCTCCAGCATTGAGGGGCCTTGATGCAGTTGTCAACTTGACCGCAGTTTTGGTGTCGTTGAACTGGCAGGACATTGGCGAACAAGCCATGGATACGGCCGCGACAGCGTGGCTGACGCCGATGAAGGGCCCGGGCAGGATCTCGCCAGGTTTAGGGTTTAGGGTTTAGGGGATTCATCAAAGAGTTCGACAGCCCCTTGGAGGTGCATGTTGAAGACTCGCCAGAGGCGGCTATGCACAAGCCCCTTACCAGATCCAGAGCCTAGCACAGAAGCTCACTGCTTCGAAGAAGAACACGCTCTGTGTCCAACAGATTCAGAGATGCCACAGGATGCCCCAGAACATGTTCTAGGGCTGCTTGCTAAGAGATCGCAGAGCTTGGCTTGTTTGGGCTGCGTCTCGGGGATCCTTTGACCGGGATCCTGTGATTAACGTTTGTGTTAGGTCGTCAACCTCCCTTAACCCACCAGAACCTACTTTTTTGTAGGGTCCATAAAATCCCATACTAAGGCTTTTCATAAGAACCGAGAAAAAAGTGGGTTTTGGCAGGTTGAGTTCTGTAAGCGCCAGCACCCTTCGCCCGGACTCGCCAGCAGAGCTGAAAGCATCTTACACCGCAATATAGAAGCCTGAATTATGAATAGTTCTATACCTTGAAAGTCCGAAGTATAACGGTACTATAATATGTCCGATATCCGAAAGCCCGGCCCCTTCACTACCCGTACAGTTCAACATCCCAAAGCCCTGGAGCACCACCTCCGAAACTTCGTGAGAGACCGAAGGTAGACCGTGCGAGCAGAAAGGAACCCGATTCAGGGTTTAGGGTTTAGGGTTTAGCGCCATAGAACAAGACAAACACCCACTCCCCCCAATGAACAAAACGGTAAGGGCACTAGCAGCAATGAAAGCAACATACATTTCAAAGTCACGCACGCAACACATGAACAATAAGACTAACAAGCAGTGCTAACCGCAACACTCACAAAAATGCCAACAACACTCTACGAACAAGAATGCGAGCAATACTTCGAACAGGATACTAAACCCTAACCCCTAAACCCCAAACCCTAAACCCTCAACCCTAAACCCCAAACCCTGAACCCTAGAGCCTAAACCCCAAACCCCAAACCCTAAACCCTAAACCCCAAACCCTAAACCCGTAACCGTAAAGCCTACACCCCAAATCCTAAACCCTTAACCGTAAAGCCTAAACCCCAAACCTTCCACCCTAAAGCCTACACCCCAAATCCTAAACCCTTAACCGTAAAGCCTAAACCCCAAACCTTCCACCTTAGCGAGGTTTCCGAAAATAGGGGACCCTAATATAGTACCCTAAATAATAGGCTCCTTATTATAAGGACCCCAAAATAAGGTACCCCTTATTTAGCGGTTTCTTCAGGCTCTGGGCTCGCCGACTGGGTGCTCCAGTCTCTGAGCAGAGGAATGCTGCAGGTCTGGTTAGGGTTTAGGGTTTAGGGTTTAGGGTTTAGGGTTTAGGGTTTAGGGTTTAGGGTTTAGGGTTTAGGGTTTAGGGTTAGGGCGTGGGAGGGAGGATTTAGGGTATTTAAAGAGTTTAAGGTATCGAAGGTATTTAGGGTATTTAAGGTATTTAGGGTATTTAAAGTATTTAGGGTGTTTAGGGTATTTAAGGTGTTTGAGGTATTTAGGGTATGTTAGGTACTAGGGTTTAGGTTGAGGGTATTTACGCTTTTTGGGAAGTTCTCCAACTTCGGGTCCCCGTTTGGGGCTCCTTGAAGGGTTTAGGGTTCAGGGTTTCACGGTTTACGGTTTAGGGTTTAGGGTTTAGGGTTTAGGGTTTAACGATTTAGGGTTTAGGGTTCAGGGTTTGGGGTTTAGCTTGGTTTAGGGTTTCGGGTTTCGGGTATTTTGGGGCCTAGGGTTTGGGGTTTCGGCTGGGTTTAGGGTTTCGGGTTTCGGGTATTTTGGGGCTTAGTGTTTGGGGTTTAGGCTGGGTTTAGGGATGTGGTTCGGTTCGGCTTCAGGGCCTGGGGCTGAGGGTGTGGGAGATGGTGAATAGGGACAGTATAAGGTTTAGGGTTTAGGGTTTGGGTTTGGGGTTTAGGGTTTAGGGTTTGGGGTTTGGGGTTTGGGGTTTAGGGTTTAGGGTAAGAGTATCATAGAATATATCACATGAGAGTATATCGTGTGGTGTAGTATGACATAGTGTAGTATAGTATAATAGAGGTATCGTACAGTATAATACACCTAAGCCCTCACCCCCAAACCCTAAACCCTTAACCCTAGAAGGGTCGAAGGGTTATGAGCTTCGGCAGTGGGGCTTCGGGTTTCGAGTTCTATAGGGGGTGGTAGAAGGGTTGAGGGCTTCAAGATTTAGGGTTAGTGGCTGAGGGTTCAGGGCTTTGGGTTTCGAGTTTGCGGCTTAGGGTTTAGGGCTTAGAGTTAAGGATTTAGTTGGGGATTTGGGCGTAAAAGGGTTTATACCAAACAGATTAGGTCTAAGTAGTTTTGGATCCCGAATATTTACAATCTAGATTATGAATGCCCTCAGAAACGCAAGTTCTTGGCATTCTGTCCCCTACCGTATAATGAGGCTTGGGGGGTTGGTGTTTAAGGCATTCTGGTTTTATGATTCAAGCTTAGGGCCTCAGGGTCTAGGTGCTACAGGTAAACCTAAACCCTAAACCCTAAACCTAGACCCTTGATTGATAATTCCCCATAATCCTTCCACCGGTAAGGCGCTTGAAGAGAGTGCTTAGAGGTTCAGGGGACTAGTAGGGTTATAAGTACGTTATTGGTGTAGGATTTAGGGTTGAGGATATAGGGTTTAGGGTCTAGGGTCTGGGGAGTTTAGGGTTTAGGGTTTACCTTATGGTTACCTTAGTTATAACCCTACTTACTAAGTGCCCTGAACCTCTTAGTGGTTTGATTAACCAGGCTTCCACGTTGGCGTTTGGATGTCATGTTGCTGGTGCTGCAGGGTACGTTCGATGTTTCAGTTGCTGATTTGTCTACTTCAGCAGATATCAAACTGGATTTCGGGTTGACTGGTTCTGGTTAGGGTTCATTGCAACATGCACTCGTTGATCGCATCTTGATTGCAGTTCATCTTCAAGCTACTGGCCTACTTCTCAAAGTTTTATGAGGTTAGAGGTTATGTGTCAGGGGTGCTCTAGGCACCTCCGACTTAAAGGGACTTGCATCGGCTGCATCTTATTTGTTCCGTATGATACTTCATTGTGCAAGTCCTTACAAAGGTAGAGTTTCTCGTGGTTAAGGCTTCGGGCATTAGTTGGTTTTTGAAGCCGTGACAGGACTACGCGCGGACCGCGGTGCAGTGCTCAGCCGTGGAAGGGGAGGTGATGCTGACAAACCTACAAAACACAAAGGGTCCTAAGTATTTATATCGTAGAAAGTGGGGTTTCTACAGCAGTCATTACTTTTATGGTTTGGACAAGCATGCCCTCTCTAGGAGCCTTCAGCCCAAAAGCCTAAACCTTTCAAGGAACCCTAACATTAAACTTTTAAGTTAACGGAACCCTAAGCTTTTTAAAGTAACCCTGACCACTAACCCGATAAGGGAACCGATGTAGGTACTTCGGACCCTTTGGGAAATCCGGTCCAGAGCTTGCAGTCATTAGGGTTCCTTGAGGGATTAAACAACGCAAGCTCGAAGCTTAGTGAGACCCCTTCCTTGGGAGGATCCAAACAGCAGATCCCCTAAAGTTTAGCCCTAAAGGGGGTTCTTATAAAGGACCCTTTGGTAGTATGTGTTCCCTAATTATAAACCCTTTAGTAGTCTACCCTACACTCTAAACCCCTAAGCCCTAAACCCCAAACCCTAAACCCTAGACATCTACATTTTTAGATGCTCCCGGGGGTCTTGGTAATGTAGGAGTCTGAGAAACCTCAGGTCTTTATTTTTAGGGCTGTCAATTTGTATCCTACTACTATTTTGGTGTTATAGGGTTTAGGGTTTAGGGTTTTTTGTCTGATAGGGTGTAGTGTTTAGGGCTTTTGGGTCTTATAGGGTTTAGGGTTTAGGGTTTTTTGGTGTTATAGGACCAGCTTGATGTTAAACTGTCCCTTGCGAGGCCCTCCAACACGAGTATCGAGTTACGTATAGGGTTATACCTCCACCTATCATTTATTCACTGCGGAGGCGAAAGCATAAGCCGAAGCCTCCTCTCTTTGTTGAATGCTCTTCTGATGTAGTAGTTGATGGGTTGTGAGGGGGATTGAATTGGGTGTGCGAAGTAGACTTGATGGGTTATGGGGGTTTAGGAAGTACTCCAAACATCTCCAAACCTTAGATCCCTATACCCTGAGCCCTTCAATCCCGAAACCCTTAACCCCAAAAGCCTACTTGCCAAGGTGGTCTACCACGCTGCTGCCGATGACAAAGCCTCAGTGGAGCAGATGGTCCGACAGCGCGAGCCCTGCAACGTCGGCATGGAGAGGTGCTCGAAGCCATATATAGGGTCTACATTATCAGGGTCCGTCATCTTCCCTGCGTTAGAGGGCTATAGACTTATGGTTCTATCATTTTTATGGGTTTAGGAGTTAATACCTGGACATTACCTGAACCGCAATGCCCACATAGCCAATCATCTTTCATGACTTCTACTAGGAAGTCAAAATAGGGAACGCCAAAACTCTGGGTGTTTTAGGGTCGAGGTAGCATTTGGGGTATTGGAGAGTGTTTTGCATACACAGGCGATTGTAACGGAGAGACAGATGCATGCGGCATGTGTATTACTACACGAGACCTGTGCAATATTGGAGAGCGGCGGTGAGCCCGAATTTGGCTGTAATCTAGGGATATTGGTAACAGTGTCCGATTTCGTGCACAGAAATATGCCTAGAAATATACATAAGCCTGTATTTACATATCTATATATATATATACACATGTGTATATATATATATAGATGTATATGTATGTATAATTTTTCACACAGAGATAGATATGTAGAAATGGACTTTCAGGAATAACTCCTATAAGGATCAAGAACTCTAAACCAAGCCAAGTCCCGTGCTCCAATCTGAAACCTGGAAAACTGCACTAAGTTTATGATGTCCTGGTGACAGGCGCTACGACCCAGACGTGCTGGAGGCGAAATTCGGGCAGCCCAGCTGCAGCTGCTGGTGGTGTGACATCTCCCTGAATCTTAAGTTCTGGGCTCTAAGTCTAAAGTAAGCCCCACAAAACATTGGAAACCGGATTAAGGACAAACAGTGCTGGGATTCCCTTTACATTGCTCTTACGGATTGAGGCTATTGGGTTTGCAACTTCTGGGCTTCTATTATACACCCAAGCTTCATGCAAACACGCTAAGCCCGTATCTGTAGCCCCCAGATCCTAAATCGACACTGAAATCCAATGCCTGGGTGTGGGGGGGCTTTAATATTCACGGTTTAGGGTTTAATAGAGAGGCCTCAAGAGTTACCAATACTATTTTTGGGGGGTTCCTGATGATCAATGTAGTATAACATACCCCAAAACCCTATCCTAACTACCAAGGCCTAAACCCTAAACCCTAAAGTTTTAGGGCTTAGGGCTACAGTAAGCCTTCAGGACCCTTGGGTGTCGGAGTCGAAGCTACGTTGTAGCTGAGTGGTAACTACCGTTTAGCTTGTGAGGGGTGAGTCGTCAACTAGACGATGGCCCATGATGCCTAATTATTTTGCCTAGGTGTCGGGTTTAAGGCTTACGGTGATTATACAGACTTCTGTTGACCAGATATACGTACTGTTCTGTTGTAGTCTTGACTCCTTGCAGGAACCACTGCTCGAACTGCCTTCCCCGTAACCCTAAACCCTAAACCCTAAAACCTTAAACCCTTAAACCCTAAACCCGCACACCCTAAACCCTTAACCCTAAATAAAACCTTTAAGCCATATAGCCCTTGAGCCCTAAGCCCTTAAACCCTAAACCCTAAAGTATTAAAACCCTGAAGCCCTAAATCCTAAAACCCTAAGCGCTAAAGCCCTAAACCCTAAACCCCTAAACCCCGACAGCCCCACACCTCTTCAAGCCGGAAGCGCCCCTAAGCAGAGACATCCTCCTCTGCTCCTACTTGCAAATTTCCATGCCCCCCGCCTGAACCCAGAGATCTGAACATACCTTTGGGTTTAGGGTTTAGGGTTTACCCCAAGGCTCCAAAGGACCCAGTAATCAGGTACTTAGGTTTCGGAGGGTGGTTATGTAGGTTACTTTTTGGGAGAGTATATGATTATTAGGGTTAATTAAGTTGGGAAGATACCTTAAGTTATAGGGGCCTGACTATTAGGGCGTATAAGGTGTATTCCTTGGGATCTCTGGAAACTGGTATAACCCGTCGCGGTTTGGTGGCTTAGGGTCCGAGTACCAAGCCTCTAGCGTCTGGGGTCTCGGGTTTAGGATTTTAGAGTTTGGGGCTTAAGGTTTGGAGCGTAGGGTTTAGGGTTTTAGGGTTTGGAGAAAATTCCATCCACAAGTGAGAAATGGACCGTAAAATAGGGTTTTAATAACGACCAATACTGTGTTTTTTGGGGGCTCTGTACTATAGCTATGATATAATATACACCAAAACCCGATTCTAATTATTAAGGCCCCTGCGAGAAAAGAACCCTGACCCTTAAACCCTTAGTAAAAGATCCTAAACGAGTCTTGGCCCTACAAACCCCTAAATCAAGCAGACGCACTTCCTGACAGGTACAGATTCGGCGCTTATGCGCAAAGCACGAAGGCCGAAGGGGAGCAGAAATGTAATCGTTTTGGGGGTTAAGGGTTCTCGGAGGCCTCAAAAGGTGGGATGAAAGTAATTAGGATTAAGGATCCCTTATATAAGATGTCCTATTTCCATAAGGGTCCAAGTACCTAGTAATCATATACTCTCCCCAATGGTACCCTACATAAATACTATCCGAAACCTAAGTACCTGATTATTGGGTGCTTTGGACCCTTGGGGATTGGGGAATATCCCACCTAATCCCTAAACCTAAACCCCTAAGCCCTAAGCCCTAAACCCTAAACCCTAAACCGCTAAACCCCTGAATCCTAAACCTTAAAACCCTAAACTCTAAACCCTAAACCCCTCAACCCCTAAACCCCTAAACCCTAAACCCCTAAACCCCTAAAGCCCTAAACCCTAGACCTTAAAACCCTAAACCCTAAACCCTAAACCTCTAAACCCCTAAACCCCTAAACCCCTAAACCCCTAAACCCTAAACCCTAAACCGTCAGGCACCTTCATCCCACCTTGTGAGGCCTCCGAGGGCCCCCAAAAAGCACATAAGCAAACATGAGGATAGGGATATCCCATATAAATCCCCTTGTAATGAAGCCCAATAAGGTAGGGATAAACCCTAAACCCTAAACCCTAAACCCTAAACCCTAAACCCTAAACCCCCTATAAAATGCTTATGTCCTTTTTGGGTCCCTCACCTCCGGGGGGTTCAGGGATCGGTTTCGGCCCGAGGGCTCCAGGTCTGCAAGTCGTGGGGTGTAGGGCTTCGGGTTTAGGGTTTAGGGTTTGGGGTTTAGGGTGTAGAGCTTTGGGTTTAGGGTTTAGGGCTTAGGGTTTAGGGCTTAGGGTGTAGAGCTTTGGGTTTAGGGTTTAGGGTTTA